AGAAGAAACATATGTCACATACAAAAAATAGAATAGACAATATATATAATATATTGTATATAAATATAATAAATATAATATATTGTAAATGGAAAAGAGCAGCTTTTATAGAAGAAGACCACAAGCTGACCTGTTAATTCTTGACGATCGTTTTATCGAGTCTTATTTAATTCAGCGTATCTTTCCCTCCCTTTACTTAGCATCGCGCGGAGGAGCCTGTCCACGAGATAATTAAACTCCCGGCTTGCTCCGAATGCCCGGCAAGTATTAATGGAATTTATAATGGTCTTTTTGTGAGAGCACTTCAAGCCGGCGAACCGTGAAACTTCTCCCTAGAGGACTCGCTTTTGAATGACGCTGATTTGAAATGCGATAATGATTTCTTTTGTGTCAATGATAAGACAGACCGGCAAATTAAAATTTGCTAAAAGTGATTTATATATGTAAATCTATATGTGGTTTTTTCAAAAATAAGCAAAATAGAATTTAAAGTAGGAAAAATATTTCAAGATATATATGTGTGTAAGTTATTTTTTTATTAGATAAATAGTTACTGTGAAATAATAATATTCATACGTTCTTAAAATCGTATTTAAAAAATAACATTTAAAAATAATAAAAAATTCTATTTAAAATATTTATTTAATTTTATAAATCAGAAAAATATAGATATTATAAAATACGTATTTTTCATTTGAAATTATAATTATAATTTTAAATTATTAATTAAAATAATTTTTAAAATAATTTTAATTAAAATAATTTTATATAAATAATAAAATATTTAAATTATTTTTTCGCAAATTTGTAAAAGCTAGTTGCATTCTTCTTTATGTATTTTACATTTCTTAAATCTCTTTTTTATTAAATCATATTAGTATTTTTGTATCTTTGTAAATTAATATTAAACAAATAATCATTATTTTTAAAATAAATGCATATTTTAATTATATCATTAATATTTAAATTACACAATTTTATATTTGAAATGTACTTATCGTTGGATTTTTCATAATTTGTATATACATATTTCAAAACTATATATTTATATTTTTATATTTAACTATATATACTAACTATATTTAACTATTTATACTTTGTGTTAATTTTAATTAAATTTTTTGATCCTCTGTTATCTTTCTTTATACATTACATAAAATTTACAATCAAAATAATTTGTATAACGCGCTATCATTATATTCGCAAAATAATTTTTCCTAAAAATTCCGTACAACCTATGAAAGAAATTTATTCTGTGGTTTCTAGCTGTCTTTTCATGAGGAAGCACTTCCTCGCCGGTTGTACGTACCATAATTTACCAAACACCCTACGTAGGGTCATGTTTAGATTTATAGTCGTGGTGAACTCGCCGAATTGGCCTTTGACGATAACGACTTTCGACCGCCCCGGATTTCTTCCCTAACTCAGGATTTGACGCGCAGTGGTTTTGTTATGCCGTACGGGCGCAACGAAAACGACGTTGCTGGAATACTCTTATTCCTGTCCAGCGTCCCGAGATGAATTGGATTTTTACGGTCGCGAAGTAGGCTAAGGAAATAAGGGGTGATGGCAGCGACTATGTGGATTCGAGTGAGAATGAGCTGCGCCGGTTAGAATCGAATAACAACGCCTCTTCGCGTGGAGGCGCCTTACCCGTCGGAATAATAAGAACTTTATTCCCACGAGATCGAGAAAATCGATCGCACCCTATCACGTCCATCTCGCATTATTGCCACCGGCTGTTTCCGACAACTCGTCCCCATTCCTCTTACGTGACGAGACCTGAATATGGCTATACGCTTGACAGAGCTGTTTCGGGGCCGAATTAAAGACCGTGCAAATAAGAATTATCCTTATCGACAAATTTATGCGCCATGCCTGCGCATTTTGGAGCTCCTCAAGTCTATAATTATATTGTTCTAATTATTCATTAATATTTTGTGTCTTCGTAATTCATAATTTAATTGCTTTTAATTTTTAGTAAAATTTTTATATCAATATTAAAAAATAAGCTCGATATAAATATAATATATCGATATAAAATAAGATAATTGATGAAGAATATAATTGTGATAAGTATTTAGATTGTTGTTTTAAGAAATTATTCACGCGTGGAAAATTAAAAATTAATATTTTTCTTTTTCGCGTTTAAGTTAGATTATTTATATTTTTCAAGGCTTTTCGACTGTATTATTTTTATTTTGATTGTATTATTTTTTAACATTATTATAAATATAAAGAAAACATTTTCAAAAAAATTAATATATAAATAAAGAGATTTTTTTTCTATTATGTTTTCAAAATTATGCCGATGCAAATGCTTGATCGTCTTAAGCGATTTTTACTGATATTGTTTTCATCTCTTTTGAGTTTGTAGAACAATGCGATCCAGCTCTGTAGATTAAGCTAGTGTTTGTAAAGCAACATCAAGATATTGGAGAGAATCGAAAGGGAAGGAAGAGTGACCGGAATAACACATGCTGATAAAATTACATTCTTTGCAAAGCCAGAGAGAAGAAAGTTTCGGGAATTGTTTGTGTTTTTCTACGGCGAACGAAAATAAATTTCATTTATCACTTGCGTGAATCATAGGCAGCTTTTCCGTAATTGTGATTCTAAGCATATGAATTGGTAGTGAATAGCATACAAAAGAGTAGATAAAGAAATAGAGTAGATAAAAAAAAGCAGAAGTAATGGCACCCTTGATATAGACAGATTTATATTATCATTCATATAAATGAAATCATTGAGACTACGTGCACTTCATATATTTCACTGTTTATATATCATCTCTGACATTTTTCTTTTCCTCTCGTATGATCAATCATAGTAATATATAGGACTCGCGCGCAAGTGCATTCGGTGAGTTATTCTAAAATGAATTTTTACACGAAATTACAATTGGAATTGATGGAATCGCTCGATCAAAAATGTCGAATTGTGCAATATTGATACAATATTGACTACATCGGTGTTTATTTTTATATTAATACGTACATAAATTGTATATGCAATTATAAATACAGGTGACACTATATATTTCGTTTGTTAGAAATTGATTGTTTATATAAAAAGAAAAAAATTAGTGTTAATCAAAAAAGTGTTATTTAATTAATTAGGTAACTTAGTTTTCTTATAATATAATAGTAATTAATCCTTATTTATAAAAATTGAATTAACACATTATTATAATTATTACCAAGATCAGCTCGATTCAAAGTTTATTGTGTGTAAAATAATCAATTTAATAGAATTTTCAGAAAAATTTGTAAACAAATGCCGATTTTCTCTTAGACATCCATATAAAACTGTTTTATACATTTATGTGCTCGAAAACTTGCCTTTGAAAGTGCATGCACCAAGTTAATTTTCAATCGCATCTCTGATATGCTGTGAAAAATTAATGCGTTGTCTGACGCCAGACGCAGCTATAAGTCATGTGATAGCTTCCTCGACATTTAAGCTCGGTTCATCCTCCGAGGAATGATGTTCTCTTTCTCTGTGTAGCATCTCATGCAGCTCAAAGAACGGCATCTTAATTTCATCCTTTTAATCGTGGAGCTTCAGCCAAACGAGCGGCAAAAATTAACATTTCACAAAAATGTCTCATACATAAATAGTTATTGTTATTTTATTTCTTAATTTAGACTTGATATATTTTACAATCGATAATTCTTAAAAAAATTATTTCTGAAATGTAACGTCACATTGATTATTAGCGTTACTTGTATTTTAACATCGCATAATTGTTAATATTCTGATCTTGTCAAAGATCAGATTATCATATTTATTACTGTGGAGGGAAATAATTTTGAAAATATATTAAAAGTTTATAGTAGAAAGAATAATAAAATATAAATGAAATGCGTTTTTAAAATTAAAATATGACCAATCTGTGATTTTAAAACTGCATGCATATCAAAATATTATGAATAATTGCAGGATATTTATAAAGAAAATTGTTGGAAGGTGAATAAGCAATTCATCTTATATTACAGATTCATATCAAACGTAAGAATACAGATTAAAGTATAATCTTTTCACATTCACAAAGTTTCTTTCTTCTCTAATTTAATGTAAACAGCGAGACATCTCTTTAGAATATGAAACCACAGCTTAAGAGGGTCAACAATCATAAAGATTTTAAATTACTGCAATTCTTCTTTTAGCATATTTTCTAATGCGATGATGGAAACTTTTACGTTATTCAATACCATCTATATCCGCAAGTGCAATTCAATTTCTGCTAGTCTATTCGCATGATAGCGATCGCACTGGTCTCAATACGTGACCCAATATGTTCGCCGAAGCTTAGAATACCTCGCTCGCTCATTGAGCTAGACCTATATACACGCAATCTGTCCATTTATTTGTTCTGCCTACACTTCCGAATTGCCATTGCTATTCCATAAGTAATAACATTTTCGATTACATAAGCAAAATCGAAATAGCGTCTGTGTGATATAAATGTAAAATATAATTTTATAAATTAGAGTCTAAAGGAATATAACACACATGTATATTTAAATTATTTCTATCAAATTAAAATATTCATTTGATTTACATATGTATAACATATTTAATAGATTGTTTCTTTTGCTAGACTGATTTATTATAATAGTAAAATTTTATTAAAGAATGTTGATTTATTGTAAAAAAAATTGTTGATTTATTGTAAATTGTATTATTGCTCAAATTAATTGCGAAATGAAATGCTAACTTATTAATAAAAAAATTATTTTATTAATTCTATTAAAAAACTTATTTTATTAATTTTATTAAAAATTATGTTATTAAATAATTATTTTATTATTTTCAAAATATTTCATATTCTTTTATACAAAATAATATTGTTCTTCTTAGGAGTATGCTTTCTTAGAAAAATGTTTCAATGAAATCTTATACATAGTTTTGTTGTGTAAGATTAAAGATAATTTTTATATAATATATATTATATTATATTATCTAATACTATATTCAGATTAAAAATTGTGATGCCTTCAGTGATACTTCTGTCCGTGACCGCCATACGTACCGCCATGGTGGTTATTACCACCAGAGTTATGAACATGGGCAAAAAATCCTCCGTGAGGATCGACATGATACGTCACGATCCTAGTGTTACCGCCCGGTTCCTTGATGATGTACTCGCCGATAACTTTTTTGCCTGTGAATAAAAAAAAGAAAAGGCGTAATATGAACTTGTGCGGCCAACGTTATAACTAACCGTTCGTAAACGTGTATTAATTGTAGAGAATTAGAGACGAGGATCATCGACATTAATGTAATACATGTGTGTACCGTCCACATATTATGTTACATCAATACGACCGCCACAATGTTTAATTAAAATTGAGCGCACGCTAAAGCGTACTACCGTGTAATCCGACCCCATCATTTATAACCTTTAACTATCACATTGCAGCCGTTGTGTTAGATACAAAAGTGTGGGAGGCAAGAAAAAAAGAAATAAGTTTGAACGCCGCCTCTTCACCCGACTTATTGCGATTCAGAGCTGCGCTTTCAAATATCTCTCGCCAAGATCCGCCAAACAAACTTTGATCGAAATTTTCAGAAACTTTAGTAACCGCAGCATTTTCCAAGCTATTGAGCAAACATCGTAAAAAAAATTCAGCAACTTTTTGCATAGTTACATAAATTTTAATAAAATTTATGTTGAATAATTTACGATGTTCAATTTATCGTTCAGAAAACAGTAAAAAGGACATACGTAAAATAATAATATTTATATTTCCTTTAACATAAAAGCAAGATAATTTACATATTCCATATTATAATGTAAATGTCATCATTTTAATTAAGCTTAAGAGTGATTATCAAATCTCAATTGTGTATTTCGCTTAAAAAGCATTTATAATGAGCTATCTTTTAATTCAGAGTAAACAAATTGTTATCTTCGACATTATGAAAATTACGAATTCAGCTTACCGTCCCTTTGCTCTTTTTGTCCATGATAATCGCCTGTGTGATGGTCCTCGACGCCATACGCGAACTCGTACTTGGGATGTGCGATGTAATCTACATGATGATGACCGTGCTTATCATGGACAACTATTTCATGGCCGGGTCCTTTGACAGGTCCATAAAAATGCGCGAAACTGTGAGCATGCTCTGTCAATCCACTTTGGATCGCTAAGAGGGCCAATATAGCCAACAGTGGGACAAACTGCTAATAAAAATTGATGCCAATTGCATATACGTACTCTTATATAACAAAGAAAATAAATTTTATTTCTAATGAATAAATTTTACATCTAATATTTCATATCTAATATTGTTCTATATCAAATACAAAAATTAGTTTTATTTTATGAATTGCACGAGCGAATTGTGATAAATAAACATGTTTCTATGATATAATAAAGTTTAAGATAATATACGAAAGCAGTTACCGTAAAATTAACAGTAAAATAACAATTGCAATAAAAGAAAATGTAATATTCACTAAAGCATTAAAAACAAGATAGATGCAACAGATTATTTAAAAGCACAATTATTATTAAAAATTGTATGAAATAATGAAAAATTGTGGCAATAACAAATTTATTCACTTTTTACATAAGTTATTTAGATATTCTGAAATAATAACGTATAAATGCTCTTAGCATTTTTAATATTTACAAAGATTTATGTAATATTAAATAGTCAAAAATATAAAGCAATATTATACACTGTAATAATCACCTCTCATTGATCATCTGTCGAAGAGATACAAACCTTTACCATGTTTCCGGTGTTTAATGATTCCTAAATGCGAATGATACGCTTGTCTATCGATAGAAGTTTATATAGCTCGCGCCAGCGTTCGTTTTTGCCCAGAAAATTTCGCCAATATTATTTAGTAGACATACAGAACGTTTCCTGCGAGAGCGACAAAAAGCACAACGTGAACCAATCACTTTTCTATGCATAAGATTAAGCATTTCTGCGATGAAACACCTTTATAGTGAATGCCATGCATGTGAATGCCTGGTTTCACTAGAATCATAATCGATTTCGCTCTCGATTGTGTCATAGAAGACTTTTTCTCAAGTCTCACGAAACAATTTGTTTTTATTAGGAGTCGTAGTGGGGGATAAAACTACTTCAAATCAATGTGTGTGTGTGTGTGTGTGTTTTAGGAATTTTTAGATAAACTGAATTCTTTTCAATATCATTTTTTTAATAATAATAAAATAAAATAATTTGACTTTATTTAATCTTGTATAAAATATTCATAATTTTGATTATTTATTAAATAAATCTTTTTCAAGAATCGAAAAATGATTTTAAGTGGACATTACATAAAGAGAAGAAATATTTACAAGAATATTAATTAGCTATTATGTAATTTAAAAAAATATACACTGATTTATTATACATCGTGTAGTGAATATAAAGATAATGATGATTTCTTCTGCTTAGATAAACATTTTTATATTAAGTCAAAGTAATTTTCGACAGTGGAGCAAGTATCATCTGTGACAAAAATAATAATTATCGAGTGTTAAATTATTAAAGTCAGTTAAATCATTATTATTGATTTAATATAACTCTATCTTCTTAAGATTAACATAACAAGTAGTTACATTATTACGAAATATCGCATCATGTTACATCAAGCTTAAGCCACGCATTACAATAATCGATTAACACTACAAATGCGTTATGTGTTGCCTGTGAAATTCAAACACGTGTGATACGCTTGATACCAGAGATTTAACCTTCTCATTCATAACTCTGTCGCCGACAGAAAGACAAAGTAAATGCGCATTGCCGGCCATATCCGATGCATCAAATAAAGTCAAACCTTCGATAATTGTTTGATTACGCGGACCAAAAAATATTTTTGTTGCACGTTGTTAAAATAAAATTGGTTTTGAATTATCGTGTGTATATCTGCGAAGTAATTGGCATGATCCTCCCATGAAATGCATTGTCGCTTTTCGCGAGGCAATTCCCGTTTCTCTAGCAAGATATATTTCGCGAAATTGTATCGACTAGATTAATTTAGGCCTGAAATAACTATCCTCGGAGCTGCCACATGTCCGAAAAAGAGACTGTGTCAGTGTTTGTAGTCAACTGGTAATCCATCCATTTGCTCTCAGTAATTTGCAACTGTATCGATCCGAGCCGTTGTGTTGCAACGAGATACGTTTATACGCAGAACGTTGCGTCGCCTTCGTGCATATACATGCATTTATGCGACGCCATATTAATGATATTCAAGATTTACGTTCTCTTCACATTATTTAATCTTGATTTAATTTATCATCTTTTGTAATTATTTAACTGATTGAACATAATACTTGCGCTGCAGCTTACAAGATACTCTAATTTTAGTAAAGCAGCAAATTATATGTTGATCCAATGTAATAATTATCAATGTTTAATTTGCATTTCAATTGTTAAGTGAAAAATAAAAACGATTGATAAATGAAAAAGAATGTAAAATAAAAAATAAGATTTTTCTCTCTTTACAAGTTCTATTTTTTATCTACTAGATTATAAATAATTTCAATAAATCTAAATAAAAATATATTTATATGTAACAATTAAAAATTTAATTCTCTTTTTCTCTATCTCTCTAATTTTACGAATTAGAAATAAATGTATCAATTATATATATATTGGAGACTTCAAAAATCAATTGAAATAATTATTTTTCTGATTGTATAAGTAACAAAATTTTTGTATACTACTTTTACAAATTTATACTTTTTATTTTTCTTTTACGTTTCAATCATTTGTTATAATTTCATTAAGTTATAATAATTGTTTAAGTAAATTAAAAAGAAAAATTATATTTATTTTATTATTTCTGATCATTTACTATAACCATTAATTATAAAAACAAAAGCGAAAAATTGTGTATTTTTAAATTTTCGTGTAATTATAATTTTTTTCTCATACCATGTTGTCGCGATATGAATTAATTAATCTTTTATTATTCTGATACCATAATCTAATATAGCTAAAAGGAGTAATCAGTCGGCTTAACTCAATGTTTGAATTAATCGCATATACATAACAAGGTCTTATAACAGATTAGTAATCAATAGCAAGAAGCCAAGAGCAATATATCTAATATTATAGCGGGTTTACATAAAACAATGAGATATCGAAAACGGCAAAATTCAATATTAAAAAACAGAGATAATAATCGAATTTTTTAATATAAAATTTATAATTTAGAATACGAAATATTTTCCTATAATTATTATTTAACTAGTTATTAAATTTATATTTTCTCATCAAATCTTCTCTAAAAATCAAATCTTTCTCTACAAATCTCAATTATAGAAACGAAATCTTTCGTGGATAAATTGTCTTATATAATGCTAATGTAATCAATTTATAAAAATTGAAAAGAATACAAGAAGGTCTAATAATTGATATGTACGAAAAAAATTCGTAAATAAATATTCAAAAAACATTCTAGTGATATTTTCACAAAATAACAGTAGATTTAAAACTATGCGACAAATAAAAAATTTTAAAAATTGAGCTTTAAAATTTTAACCATGATATTTGCACATCTTCTAGTATACTTTTATTTATATCATTATTTTTTTAATCTTTAAACGCAGACAAAGTTAATTTTGCTGTTATCTTCAAAAGAGAAAAACAACTTTTATCATGATTCATAACGTCACTTAGCTTACTCTTTTATAGTAACGATTTAGCAACAATAACGATTCGAACTAATTGTTAGAAATCGAGGACGAAGATTATAAGCTCGGAAACGTTGTTTCGCAGTCAGCTTTAGCTTTGTTCGCTCGGAGAAATTCAACGTTTCTATCTCAACGGAAACCTACACAACTGTAGTAGTCTCGCCGCTAAGAGAACTTAATAGAAATTGTCGAAGCGTTTGCGCGATGCGATTATCCGCGTTAGAAACCGGCGACGAGATTGGCAACGAAATTGGCAACGAAATTGGCAACAAAATTGGTCAGGCCCGGTATAATACAATGACCAACCGATCTCCTTATAGAACGACCCCAATCCCGTTCGTCGCGATTGTTGAAGCACGGAATTTCGGCTTTTGCTCCTTTCTCTCTCAACTCGCGAACTCGTTTTCCTGCCTGCTGTCAGTGAATTTTGCGCTTCTATCGCTTTTCGACAACCTGGACCGCTGTCGCCACGTTTCGTCGCGTTGCTGACTCGAGAAATCGAAGACGCGTGCGCGGAAACGTGATTGGATAAAAACGATGTTGCGGTCCCTGCTGATGAGAGCGATCGGCCAACTCGCCGCATTCAGTCAGCAGAAATCGAGCATGAGTATCCTCGTTCGTTCCGATGAAACGAAATCACGCTATTGTGGTAAAACCGAGAATGAATTTGGGAAAAAGAATCCTACCCCAAAAATTCAAAAAGTGAGTCCTGATGCGAAAATATCAATTAAATTTTTAAAGTTAAATAATAAATAAAATAAATCTAATAAATTTAATTTAACTCTTTTGGATTAACGATTAATTTGAGAAATGTTAATCAGAGATCGTTCGATGATATAAGAGAAATTAATCGAAGATTATTTAGTTAATAATTAATATAAAATCAATTACAGATTTATAGATTTAGAGTAAGAAACATGACATTAGATCTTGATTAAATTATTCATGTAATATTTCTTATTAAAAATAAAATGTGCAATCATCATTGGAATCAATGCTATTTAGATTTTTCAACTGATATTATCAATTTATATAATTATTTTTATAATTGTATTTATAATTACTTTTTATAAGAAATTTTTATGCAACATTGTGAACTTTGAAATGTGTTTGATAATTAATTCTATAGCGTAGAAAAGTGTAGAGAAAGTTTAAGTATACAATCGTGAATATATTCAATAACTTTGAAGGTAGATTGGCCAATTAATCAGAAATTTTTAAATTAATTTCTGCAGGACTGCGGAAGAAAACTTAAAAGTGGGCCTGCATAATTTGTGACATTCTGGACGATATATTTGTCAAAGTAATATACAGCGTTTCTCCTATCGGTGTCCAATGCACATGTAAATGATATTTCTTATACAGAACGCGGAGATGGTATTTACGCTGAATGAAGATATAACAGAAACTCTTGTGTACCTATACGTTTCAATTAAATTCGCGTTCACGCAGACATTTACACGTTTTCCTAGTCGTATTGGATAGCTTTGCCGTAAGCTCCGTGCATTTCATTCGCCGGCTTTACTGCAGAGCTTCCCAACGAAAACGTAATAAACTCTCATCCCCCTTTCTCAGTATCAGTCACAATTAAATTCAACAGGCGCACGCAGATATTAGCGACTGCGAAGCGGCTTTCGCGTTTTTGCGAAGCGTGCCAGAAAAGTAGCGGATGCACTCAACAGACCGCAAGTTCGGGCAAGAAACGAATCTGTTCCTTCGCCTCTCCTACTTCTAATTAAGAACCAAACCAGATATCCAATTACTTCGAGATTCTAATTAAGAGCGCGAGATCAAGTTGCATCGCGCTACCTCGCTGATCCTGGATCAGTGTTGTACAATACATACCTGGGATTGTTACATCGATATTTTACTTTAACGTTAACAAGAGATACTATAAATAATATCGAGAAGATACATATGTTGTTCCTCAAGATAGTTAATACTTTAACAGCAATCTTCAGCTGTTTAATTTTGCTTTCAATATTAATATTAAAAATATCAGAAACGATATAGAAAGTTAGCTTTATAATTATAATGTTGATGTTTATACTTGTCTATCTAGAATATCTTTTC